GAAAACAACCCTTAGGTGAATTCCAAATAATCACAAATAAACAAGAGGAAAGATCTTCACCAAATAGATGAACCAAATCTTCAGAACCAGAGTTGAAGAAGACCCAAAATAACGAACCAAATCAACTTCAGAACAGAGGCAACATAACCATCAACAAATCAAGTATCCTTAGCAAATCTTCACTCTTCGCACTGTTACCGAAGCACTAGAATTGGTATATAGCAGCCGCCACCTTTTGCAACGAACAAACAATACACCAAAAATTGTGAATCTAGGGTTTATTATCAACTTAGTTGTTTCCAAATTGAATTGGGTCTCCTCAAATATAATATATAAAAATATATTATACCTAAACCAAGCTAAATTAAAACTCTTTAACGAAACAATTGGGTCCCACACTCCAATAAGAGGTATACCCAAAACAAAAATTTTATAAAAAATAAAAATAAAACTCAAAAACAAACAGTCTCTGTTTTCCTCCATTTTTTTGTCATTTAACTCTTTTTCTCTAGTTTACTTATTCCAACAAGTGATATAAACAGAACAAAAATATTGGTTTCTATTTTATTTTCAAATCACCACATCCAAAACAAACTGTGTGGATGAAAATCTGACCACACTGCCTCGTTTAGTGATCTGCTGGAGAGCACAGGTAGAATAGATGGCTTTAGCAACCTGTACAGAAAGGAAAAGCTCCGGCGGTGGTCTTCACCGGGGCACTCCGACGATCAAGTCAGTATACTCTCTCAAAGATAATCAAGTGCTAAACTGAATACTCAAGACACAAAATACATACCTTAGCACGGGGGTGCCTCTCTTTTATAATATACTCAACTCCAAGTCCCACTAGAAGTATGACTTTATGAACTCCCAATTTACTGCTTACTCTGGACTCTATAAGAGATAAAGATAAACTCCCTAAGAGCTTTACCTTATCTTGTTAAGTCCCTCTTTGCCTTAGGACTCTTGTCCTTATCTCGATTCCGATATCTTCGGAGATAACTCGGCTTCTCCGAGATCATCTCGCTTAACTACCAGGACATGTGGCACCGTCGGCTGACACGCTCGGCATCACCATGCCATGTGTTGGTATCAAGAAATACGTCCCCACAACTGCCCCTAGGTTCTATACCTCGGCATTCTGAGGTGAGTAAACCTATTTCGATATTTTGTCACCTTTTTTCTGAAGTAATGGCTCAAAAACTGATTTAGCCAAGATTATCTACTTTCAGCCGACGTGTTTCTCTTCGGAGAACAAGGCTCCGATCGTACATTCCCACGCGCATGAGCTGTCATGCATATCTAACCGTTTCTTTCACGGTTTTTGTCTTCATTGGAGCGTGTCGGTGACGCGCCTGGAAGCTGTCTGTTCGTTCGTCGTCTGCGCCGTCTGACGTGTGCGTTGCCTAGGCGTAATGATTGCCCTATTTTTGCGCGCCGTTTCACGTTTTGAAAAAACTTTCCTTTGGCCTCTATTTTCCTTCACTTTTTTCATTCTGTCTTCTTGTTCTTTCTCTCTCTGAAAGTTCTTTCTTCTCCGAATCTGCCATCGCCTTTAATCTCTCTTCTGGACAACTGCTCTTATCCCTCATCCTTGCGAAGCCTTCTTTGCTGTTGCAACAATTTCTGAGCTCGGCGAACTTGCCCCCGCTTCATTGTTCCGGTAAGATTCATTCCCTTCAATGTTAATTTCTCTTTCTGCGCTTTTGTCTGCCTGTTGCCATTACTGATCTTGTTCGAAGCCTTGGGTTTATTTGTATCTTGATTTTGTGGCTATTCCTTGAACTTCTTATCTATTTCCACCATTCTCTTTGCCACGTTCTTGGGTTTTTTTTTTTTACTTTTGTATCTCTATTGTTTCTGAGAGCTATTACCTTTGCTCTGGAATCTGAAACTTCGTCTTTGTTTTCCTCTTTTTGTATCTGCCCCAGATCTGCTTGCTTCAATCTTGGTCTTTAGAGTTCTTAGGTTTGGGATTTGTGCGTAGAACCTTCAAATTTAGGGAAAACTGAAAATAAGCCTTATCAGCCATTTCTTAGATTTTTACCGAGGTTCTTGTAACCCTTCTAAAACGCCCATCTTCTGAAACACATTTTAAATTGACATAATGGGTTATGTGGAGGATAGGGTAAATCCCCAACAAAACTTGAATACTTAGGCAGGAATTCTCTATCCACCACGCGATGTTCATCTTAACTAGCTGGGGACAGTGATACATCATGCCCACAGACCATTACGATGCCTTTCCCTATAGTAGCTTTTACCAGAATGTGGACTTCGGCTTCCCCTTCACCCCTCTTTCGTGAAGTTCTTTATTTCTACAAGCTAAACCCCATGCAACTTACTATCAACTCTTATAGGGTGATTAATGGTATTATAGCCTTAGCTAGGCAAGAAGCAACTTAGAATTACCCTGGCGACTTCAATACTGCTATACCATGTGCCCTCTTGACCTGAAAGATAGGGGTTTGTTTATTACCTTAAGCCGAGATCTACTCAGTACAAATGTAGCCGACTCCCCAGCCACTCCAACAAGCGGGGCTGAGATGATTTTCTCATTGCTTCTGGAAATTGGGAATTTGGCCCAGATGAAGATGTCCACCTCTACCCTCTTCCTCGAACAATTACAGAGGGCAGAGTTAAGAGCCCTGAGTCAACACTTAGTTGTTTTTATTTAAGTCTTTAATATATTTTTTTCCTGACGTCTGTTCTTTGTCCTGCAGATCTTCGTACAGCCACGCAAAAATTTCTCGTCAATCCTTCTTCCCAGGAACAGATCTAAAACACTCCTTAACCTTCAATCCATAACGAAAAGCCCACTGTTACTAAACTTCATCCTACATAAAATCCACTTTTTACCCGACGTCCCAAGAAAAAGGAAGAAGAGTTCTTTCTCCACCCACAGCCACGACCCTAACTGCTCCACATCCGAACAGATCAATGAGTCCTATATCTGACCCAGCCGAACTCTTCCATCACCTCCGGCCCTCTACTTAATACCAATTCCTGAACGTAAACGTCGAAAGGCTTGTAAAGACTGCCGAGATAGTTCGTCCAAGGCCTGTCGTTCAAGACCTTCTTGCCGATTCTTCCAACTGACCGCCGGAAGCCGTACCAACGCAATCAATGTCCCACTCAAACCAAAGAGAGTAAAAAAAGGCTCAGCTAAGGCCAAGGCTACAGCTGCCGAAGCTGAGGATGCTGTGCCTATTTCAAAGCTGGCAGAAAGCAAAAAATCCAAACTCCTGTTCACCAAGAGGTCAGCTGAGGGTACAACCCTCAGGGTCTAACCTCAATCAAAGAGCCAAGGTCTCGTCGCGACGACCTCGGCTTCAAAGAAGCCTGACGTCCCCTGGCGCCCCTGATCTACCTCCCTGGAGGATAGGCCCATTTATGGCTAGTGAAAGTGCTGACGACATTAACGTTGTGTCGCCTCAGCATGCTCTTCTCCTTCCGAATGACTTGGAGCGAAATGCTAAGTAGTGAGATATGAGAATACGCTCTCCATGCTCCAACACTCCGTCCTCCAAGTGAGTATTTCTGTTTGTACTTGTAGATATTTCTTCTTCGCGTTCTTTTACTGAGAGTACTGTCTCACATTTCGTTTTTCTGCAGGCATTCAGCATGCCCATCCATTTCATTTTCAATGCAATCTTTTGAAAAATCGTCAAAGGTTGGTTGATATGAAATGGGAAGCACTTCCATGAAAGAGAGAGATAAAGTCCTTGAAGCAAAAATGAAAACAACTGGAGGATCAAGCCGGAGCTGCAACTAACAGTTTCAAAACTTTAGCTCTTAGAGAAGGCCGGCTGCTGGGCCGTGTAGAAAAGTTTGGCCGAGGTCGAGAAAAAGAAGAGGCCGCAGGTTCTAGACAAGGCCCAAGCGAAAAAGAATCAGCAAGCTCTGGCCACCAAAGAGGAGCCGAAATAAAAAGAGGCCGATGAAAAGCGCTAACGCCCAAGGATATCGCGCCGACGGTCGCAGAAGGATTATAAGCATTCAAGTCAGGCAGGCATGGCAACAAGCGGTGATTTTCCCTAGTTGGATGTCCCTGATAAAGACGCTTGATCTCCTGTTGACTCGCCCCTTCGGAATGCTGATGCCATCCTTGCCATTTCCTGCCACCTCCTCACCTGAAGGTGGATCAGAATCTGATGCTGATGCTGAGGATGAGATATAAAGAGGACACACGAGAAGCCTTGGTGAGAAAACCTAAGGATTGCGTCGCTAGCAAGTCCCCTCCTCACTGCTGAGCAGGTATGGACTTAACTTGGATGAAGGAGTGGATGAATCGAGCCAAGGCAGGCAACTAGGGAAA